TAGGTTGGAGACCATCGCTAGTAGGTTGGAGGCCATCGCTTCTAGGTCGGAAGGTTGGAGGCCATCGCTAGTAGGTAGGAGGCCATCGCTTCTAGGCTGGAGGCCATCGCTAGTAGGGTTGGAGGCCATTGTTAGTAGGCTGGAGGCCATAGCTTCTAGGTTGGAAGGTTGGAGGGCATCGCTACTAGGTTGGAGACCGTCGCTAGTAGGTTGGAGGCCATCGCTTCTAGGTTGGAAGGTTGGAGGGCATCGCTACTAGGTTGGAGACCATCGCTAGTCGGTTGGAGGCCATCGCTAGTAGGTAGGAGGCCATCGCTTCTAGGTTGGAGGCCATTGCTTCTAGGTTAAACGACATACCACCATTGGCAGGCAAGCTCTCTCTCTCTCTCTATTTGCACCTCATAGAGCTGCTTCTGCTGTGCCAACTTTGCCTTCACCTCAACTTGTCACAACGGAAGAGATGTTTCTCTCATATGGCATTATGGCACACAAATAAGTATAAGCGTTAGAAAATGTGTCCAGTTTAGTTGGTGGCTTGAGGCAATATGAGACGCCCACATCTGCAAAGTTCTTTTTGAGCTCAGAGATTTTGTTATCGCGGTTTTTGAGCTCCTGCAAAGGGTTGTCATCCCCTGGCGTTGATTGGTTTCATGTTGTTTGGGCCTTTGGGTCGTTCGTTTTCCTTCCATGCATCGCTTCTTTTCGAAGTCTGTCTGTTTACCATGTCTTTTCAATGATGCGTTCACCCTCCTCCAAAGCAGACATGTACTTGCTGTTGGCTAAGGAGCACCTTAACGAAGGAAGCCACTTCTTGCCCATGTCAAACTGTTTCATCCGAGAGACCGCCAGTAGGCAGACATGCTTCAGCACCACCACATCGCTACGGTGTGAAAAGTGGACTTGCTCAAACATATTCGCCTCTTATTTTAGACAGTGAACAAAAAGTTCTGAATTCGCGGTGAAAATCACATCGAACAAAGAACGAGTCGAAAACGTCTCAAAAAAATATAGATTAAAAAATAGAATCACGTGAGAGTGTAGGGCTGTTGCTCCAAGCCATACTTCTCCCGTGTCTTATCGAGTTTGTAGGCCTGACAGGTCCGAAGGGAGCACGAAAGATCGGAAAAATGTCTGCATAGAATTAAAATTAATAGCTTCTTGTTACTACTAGTAAGGCACTTGTTACTACTAGCGATGCACTTGTTCCTAGTAGCTTATTTCACCATTTGGCCTTCTTGATGGCGTCTGTCACATCCAGCTTGATATCTTCCACATCCCTTTCTAGCTGTTGGGCTTCTTCCTGAGATGCACTAAGATCAGAACAATGATTGAAGATGCATGTTCAATGTGTTCTTGCTAAAACAAAGTGTCCTTTGTGAACACTTGCCCTTCAAAATGGCGCTGGTGGGATGCAAGACTGCTGCAATCTATATAACTGATTTGACCCTTTGCCCCTTTGCCCCCTTTTCGCCCTTTTCGCCCCTTCGGCCCAGTAACATCATGGCTCTTCACCTTTTTGGTTTGATCTTTGGTGCGGTCGTCACAGCCTCGTTTGGGAAGTGGCTTATTCTTTGACATGCTTGACCAATGCTGACATCAAAGCATCCTCTCAAGGCGCTCAGGACCGAGAGTCAGACGAATGAGAGCTCGATTCAGGGACTCTCTATCCCGCAAAATGTCGGTGATGGTCTGACGGGTCAAAAGGTCTAAACCTTTTGGCCGCCAGAGTTCCAAACTTTTAGCCCTTACTTAGAGTAGCGTTCTTGCTCCTAGTAGCGATGCCCTTTGTTACTAGTAGCGTCCTTGTTCCTAGTAGTAAGGCCAGGAGCCCCTAGTAGCGTCCTTGCTCCTATAATTGAGTATTCGCCTACTTGATCTAAGTAAAGGAAGAAACAAACTACCAGGTAACCTGCTACTAGCTAGGACACAGGATAGCTCACGCTTCTTTAAGGAAGCTCCACCTGCCGACCTAAAGGCGGCGGGGGGCAGCTTCCTTGAAGAAGCGCTCCCACTATTCATTTGGTTCCTAGATTGCTGGCAAAACCTGCAAAAGAGCGAAAGAAACACAACATACTTTGCATGTGGCATCACGTGGCCTTGCTATCGCTTTCGGCTTGCTTCTTGAGCATGTCGATCTGACAAGTTGCAAGCACGTTGACAAAAAAAACGAGAAGCACTGGACGTCTGGCCTCACGAATCAAGTTCTCCGTTTCAGTCTTGAGCACGGCCTAGGGCACAAAAGCAGTTCTCCGGTTCTCGATCTGAAAACCGATCCCTGTAAGTCCTTACCAGCGTGCAGATGATTTGCAATAGCAAGCACTGAGGCTCTGCCTTTTAAGTCCCTTTATTAACTTTCTCTCATTCTGAAAGCCAAAGAGCAGTGCCCTCCATGAGGCAATGTGAGATGTGTCTCATTCAATGAGTCTTAAACTGTTTATCCAAGATGCCCTTAGCTCAGATAATTGTGGGAAAGGCCCTTCTGTCGTTGAAAGGACGTTCATCTTGCCCCTGCCTTGGCGAGGTTCATTTCGTGTCTTGCTTCGTCATCCAAAGCCTTCGTCGCTGCGAAAACGACTGCTCAAGAAATTCTAAGGAAAGCATTGGAAAGCAGCAAAAACAGCTATCTTCAATGAAAATTACATGTTGAAACTGGTAATTACAAATTGAACGTGAGATTCGAAAAAGCTTTCAAAGTGGCAAAGCTGCGCCTTTCGACGCTTTAACACATCCAAGGCTTTCTTCGTCTTGTCTCGCTCGGCCGTGCAGGTGCGGATCTCCTGAGTCGACGAGGATACCAAGTTTTTGCAGCGTCCGATCGCTCCGTTCATAGCGATGCCCTTTGTTCCTAGTAGCGTCCTCTTGTTCCTAGTAGTAAGGCCAGGAGCCCCTAGTAGCGTCCTTGCTCTAAAATAGGACGCAGGATAGCTCGCGCTAATGATTTGGTTCCTAGATTTTTAGGGAAACTTGACAGCTCTGGATGTGAACAGTTGTCAAGTGGTCCGGAAAGCGACATGCTTGAAAGACTGCCAGGAGGACAACTAAATTGCCAGAGGACACCTGGGTTTTGAATGCAGCTTGGTGTAGCATCGAAGAGTCAGAAAGGATCCAAAACGAACTTGATGAAGCCACACAGTCCTCATGCTTCTCTTTCAACTCCTTGTCAAGGTCTTTGTTCTCCTTGCAGCAGGCTGAAGCTCTAGTCTTGTATGAAGTGCGGCAGTGCGGGATGTAGATTCACCCAACGTGTCTAGGGAGTCTAGGGATTCGCCTTGCCTTCCTTCATTTGGAACATTTGTAATCTGGGGTGCCAGAATTCAGACCGAACTGTTGCAAGATTCAGACAGATGTTTTTCATTTGTTGAAGAGTACTTTCTGACATGGAAGTGTCTTTTCCTGTCGCCATCTGGCTTCTGACACGACAGTTTCTTATCATCGACATGCGACTGCTCCGAGTGCACTATGGACTATGTATAAGATTTGGTGGATGCGATACTGTCGGGTCGACAAATGTGCACTTTCAGGTTACCGTTTCGTTGCATTCCCCAAATCGCCTTTGAAAGGAAACGGCATGCCCATCCAACCCGACCACAAACATGCAATGTCTGTGTCCAGGGATTCTTCCCAGCCAATATATCCTGTTTCCTATGTAAAATATGCATGTCTCGAGAGCAGCTCAAAGGTCTCTCAAGTTCTAAACTCTACTACTCGCCGACATCATTAATTTAAAAGAAACATATAGTAGCAAAAACGCGTCATGCCACTGAGAAACAACCACACACATCCTTTTCTGCCCGGAGCTGCTAGTGCCACTCCCCACTCTTGCAAGGCCAAATGCCTCCAACAGTCTTTTCTTCGCGTCACTGCCTTCCTGCCAAATTCGAGAAATTAAATGGCACAAAAAGGACACAGAATCCATCGAATTACTTACCCGATTGAATTTTCTGATTTCCAGACATCACAAGTGTTGTGTTTTGTTCGGCCCTTTCTGAACCTGCCTGGGGTTTTCGCATTGTTACATATCTGTTCTACGGTGCTGCTTGTCGCCGTGGCCACACTCGTCACACGAGTTCCTGTCAGAGCCCTCTGCTCTCTCGCCTGCTTCTGACGCTTCAAATCGCCAATCTGTCGCTGCCAGTTGGCCTGGTTCAGCACTTTTTCTTGCTCGTCTTCCAAAATGTAAAGGCTCTCTTTAATGCCCTAATTCTACTTGTAAAAGCACCTCTTCCTGCTTCTTGTTCTCTATGATCTGCCGCTGCATGTTGAGCCTTGGGCTTGGGAGGCTCAGAAGAAATTTCCAAACTTTGCTTGAGTCCGCGTTAAAGTGGGAGCGAACCCAGTTGGTTCACTTCGCATCGTTTGCTTTCCACATGCACTATTGAAACATGTGATGCGTGTGTGGTTCAATGTATATATATGGTATATACGGTGCATCTATATATATATCCTATCTTGCCTGCTCATTCTTACTCTCATACTTTCTGTCTTCGTTCGTCTTTCTTTTGGATTTGTTTGCTTCGCGCACCTCGCCTCACCTCTGGGGCTTCCCACTGCATCTCGGTCGCGGCCTTCACCTCCTCCTGTTGCTTGATCTCCGCCTGAAACAAAACACAAGACCCTCGGACCAAAGATCCCAAGAGTGTTTGATAGAAAAAGATTTGGGTTGACATCTAAAGGACATTCAAAGACTTCCAAAATGGATATCTGACAAATCCCGCCTTCACCTGGCGCAGCACACGGTCTCTCGCCTCCATGTTTTGCCGAAGCCTTGGCGATTCATGATCCGACGAGTCAATGAGTAGCTACTGGCGTCTTCGTCTCTTTCGCTGAAAGCTCTGGCGTTCTCTTCACGCATTGTCTTGCGTTATTGGAAGGAGCTGACGGTTAAGTAGCACTGCCTTGCTTTTGGCATTCACTGTTTGTTCCCTCTCCTTTCCGTTGTGCAGAAGGCACTGGGTCTCCGCGCTCAATGAGCTCACTCTCAAGCCGGTCACGGCGCCGCGTCTCACGCTCCTCCTCCGTCCTCCAGCATCAGAGTATGTCAATGCATCAAGAAGGCACGGGAAGCAGCTGGGAAAAGGCTTCAAGAAGCCAGGAATGGCAATGGTGGTAACCAAGGGCTTTAATTGTATTCCATGTTTATCAAGATTACGACATTACAATGTATGATCAAGTGCATTAAAGAGAAGCTGCAAAAAGTCGAAAGCCAGCCTCTTGGCATTGAGCATGTCTTTGACGTCTGCTATCTCAACCTCAACCACATGTTTCTGAAGCAAAACCCCTGAGTGCCCAGTCTCTGGCACCATATGGATTAAAGTCTCTTGGACTTCACCAGCAAGCGCCGTGATAATGTCAGCTGTAGGGCCGAAGACCAGACCAGATTCTGCGCTATTTTAAAGATCTTGCTATGGAGGCCATCGCTACTAGGGTGGAGGCCTTCGCTATTAGGTTGAAAGTTTTGTGTACAGAATGATTCATACTAGGGAGGGTTAGAAACAAGAAGCTACTAGGAACAAGTGCATCGCTAGTAGTAACAAGTGCCTTACTAGTAGTAACATGTTTGCTATTAGAAACAAGAAGCTACTAGGAACAAGTGCATCGCTTCTAGTAACAAGTGCCTTACTAGTAGTAACATGTTTGCTATTAGTTAATTTAATTTAGATTTAATTCTACTAGCTTTTTGTTACTACTAGTAAGGCACCTGTTACTACTAGCGTGGCACTTGTTACTACTAGAGAATTAGAATTAACTCGGGTTACCGGTGTCCCGTGCCTCACTTTGGACTTTCTCCGACTCATACCTCTGAGCCGTTTCTGTCAAGACCTTACAACGCAAGACATCGCAAGGCTTGTGACCAAGACTTATCGACCTTCCCCACTCTCCTTTGACTCCTACAGTGAGTTTCTTGCTGTATGTGCGGCAGCTTCTGATGCTTCATGCTCCAAGCTATCTCAGCCTCTGACAATGTTGTCGTGCGTCAGGGAGGCAACCTAAGGTCAATAAGTATCAGCTCAAACAACAATCGAAATATGGCACGATACTGAGATACTCTAAGTATCAAGAAAACATTGAGTTAAAACATGGTAGTACAGTCCAGTGCATGCTTCATCCCACGTACCTATTCCATGTTGTCACCTGACCCCTTCCGCATTGTGCTCTTTTCTCACTAGTGATGACTTAAAGATGGCTCTTTCGGTGATGCTTTGCATCGCCGGCAACAAAATGAGCCAGCGGCACATGTACCTGCAAACGCTGAGAAGAGCCTCTGCTGGCAAGCCGCAAAATGGCTGCATTGACTTAGGGGCTGCTGGCCTTTCGAAGTCTGTAAAGGCACAAAGACAGACCTTGCTGGGCAGGTTCCCAGCGATGGAACACGTTGCCGACAAATTCTGCAGGCCATCTTCCAATGCAAAAGCCGTTATCCGAAGTCCAAAGTCAAAGCAGCTTCAAACAAGACAGGATGACTCTCTGCTAAGCCTGCTAGGCATGTCATCTCTTGTGACAATGCAAACTCGTCCTGCTACGGCCCTGTAACTATCTGCTGTAGCCACCGGACTTCTTTCGTGGATGGTAAGACTTGAGAACATCGACCACTGCTGGGTCCGCCAAGGTGGAAGTATCACCCAAATCCTGGCACAAAAAAGATTGTCCACTTCTATTTTCTTTCTCTTCGTCTCTTTCTCTTCGTCTCTTTCTCCTGGGTGTCGTAGTCGGGCAAGGCCAACTTCCGGAGGACCCGGCGCATGATTTTCCCGCTGCGGGTCTTTGGCAAGCCCGGTGCCCAGTGGATCTCGTCCGGGGCGGCGAAGGCACCGATGACTTCCCGGACCTCTAGAGATCGAAACTGAAGGAACCGGAAGGAACCGGAAGGAAATGAACAAGGAGAGAGAACAGCAGAAGTTGAACACGAAGCTCAAGGAAGAGTGATCCAATATGATCCAATCAAATATTGAAGGGAGATGCCTCTGATGCACTGACTCTGCCCATTCTGGCCTGTTTCTTCAGCTCTGCCTTGAGGCTATCGTCGTAGGCTTCGCCCTCGTTCAGTGTGACACAACACCAAATGCCTTCACCTGCGATGAAATGCTCCAAAGGACGGGCCCAAAAGATTGGTGGGTCGTGGAAGCAAAAAGAGGGTGCGAGTCGCGGTGCGAGTGCAGAGAAGCTGGAAGCAATCAATCCCCTCTTAACCTTACCTGACCTCTAAAAGGTATACAGTTGCTCTGCATCAATGCTCACAACATGGACTGCTTCCCTACATCCTTAAAGTGAACAAACCATAGATTGGTATGTCGTTTGTTTGCCGGATCGTGCACGGGCTGCCAAATTGGGCAGAATTCGCCTTTCACTTCATGCGGAAAGCCCACCACGGCCGCTTCAGCCACCTTGGCATGTGCCACCAAAGCAGATTCCACCTCTGCAGTGCCGATCCGATGCCCGGAGACGTTGATGACATCGTCCATCCGCCCGGTCAACCAATAGAAGCCGTCCTGGAAAGCCGTCGCTGTTCGATTCACGACGTCCAATGTGCTTAAGCACTTTGTAACTTCAGCTGTTCCACTTCGACGATTTGGGCGTGGGAAAGCCGCCTTTTGACCCAGTGAGAAAGCAAATAACGACAGAGTGGCAACACTTTGGTCCTTGTCACGCTTGCAACCATCGCCAGTGAAGTAATAGCCGTTGAACTGTGAGAAATACGTCTCCTGCGAACTTTTAGGCTTGTTAAGCTTTTGAGAGGAACGGCCAACAAGCAAAAACACTACTAGGTTAGAGGCCATCGCTATTAGAAAATGAAGTCTAGTTGAATTGGTTGAAACTCCGCAGATTCCAAAACGGCTGTGGTGAGGAATCTGTCCTCAAAGCGCTGATGATCACCATGAACTGTACGCATCATACTCGGAACCGGCCGCTTCAGCACCAGGCGGCCACTGCACTCGCCCGACAACTCCTTCCCGTTCTCATCCAAAATGGCCGTTTCCACTCCAAAAAAGGGCAAACTTGCCGAACCTGCAGACCGAATCACATCGAACGCATGCACCGGACATCAACACAGGCACCCGACGCTGGCTGGACCCGCCTGGCTTGCATGTCATGGCACCCACCAAAGGTGTGATGAGGTGGCTACCCGTCTCAGTCTGCCAATAGGTGTCAGCAATGGCACAGCGGCTGCCACCTACATGTGACTAACAATCTTTTGGGATGAAAATCTCATTTTCTTCTGGGAAAGGACTCTTCAAAACAATGCTTGCCAATTTGTTTCAATCACTCCCGGCCTACCACTCGATGGTACCACCTCCAAGCCTCAGGATTGATGGGCTCGCCCACTGTGCCCAAGAGCCTGGCACAACTAGATCTCGTTCTACTAGTAGCGATGCCCTTTGTTACTAGTAGCTTCTTGTTACTAGTAGT